TGATTTTTTTTAATATTAAAATGTTGTTGAATAATGTTTGAAAATTTAATTTATTTGTTTATCAAGTTATATATATTGATTATATTTAATATTTAATTAGTACCTTTATAATAATATTTGAAAAATTAACTAAACATTTTCATTCCACTTTTATAAAAAAATTAAATCAAATCAAATCATTTTCATTAGAGTACAGTAGATATATGAAATAAATTATTAAAATAACACATTCATAAATAAGTCAACTCATTAACCCATTAACCATGCTAAATCGAATTAAATTACAAATTTCTTCCTTACTAAAAGTAAATCAACTTGAATTAGTATTTTTTAACTTAATTTGTGATGAATTGAATCAAATTATTTTGATACTTTTATATTATTTGAATGAGATTAATTAACAAACTGTTTAAATACATAATTTTTATAAATTAGTTTATAAATTTTAATACAAAGTCCATAACTATTTCTTCTAAAAAAAGTTATATTTCCCCCTTTCTCTTCACCAAGATACACACATTCATAAAATTCCATTTGATTTTAAAGGAAAATAAAATGCTTTCCTCAAAATGTCACAAAACATATTTAGTAAAAAGAAAATCATTTAACAGGTTTGTAATTAAGACGATAAATAAAAAAGGACAGAAAAATACGATGATAAGTATACTAATCATGTGGGAACAGAAGACACTATAAATTTCATATAAAATTATTGCGTGAATTATCTTTGGTAAACATTTGAACAAGTACATGATAGACATATACTTTAATCAAGTAAAAAAAAACATTATTGATATTATTTTTTTGATAAAATTATTTAAAAACAAATAAATTTATCACATATGATTCTTTTGACAGAGTGGATATGATTTTTTATATTATTATTGCATACATTATTTACTATTTTGAAACCAGAACTGCTATTTGATACCAAGAAAATTTGCAAAAATGCGTCATTAGTGTCATTTTTAAGAAATAAAAAACTCAATTACGTATTTCTGACAGAAACAAAGATCATAAAATATAAAGGTATTAACCAATACAAAACCTTTAGTCTTTTTTGGTATTATAATTTTTCATGCAGTTTAATTTCATTTTTGTTACATGCAAGAGGAAAAACCAACTTAAAAAGGACATTTTCTTTTAATTATTAAGAATCGAAACACTTAAATTAATTTAAGTTGATTTATTTATTTATTTTCAATCCGGTAAATTCAAACTCAAATTATCAGGAAATGAAGTTGTTGTTGAATTTAGTGTATATTTGTGTTAGAGGAGTATTATAATGAAAACCTGTAAATTACTAAGAAAACATTTCCATTCCTCTTGCAAGTATTTATGCATTTCTCATCCAGATAACGGTGCGAGGCGTATTGGAAAAAATTCTAATTGAAAAGAATGTTAAGCTTTAAACGTATAACGTGAACAATACGGAGAGTCTGCATGGAAATTTACTGGATAGTCTAAATCATTTCTAGATGGAGAAGAGAATAAGAGTTTAAAAAGAAAGCCAAGTAAAACTCCAAGGACACCCACAAAAATGGCAAAGATGAAGGAAAAGCCAGGATCACTTTTTCTGTTTCTTCGTCTTTTCAGCATGTCCTACACAGTTAACACAGTAGATACATTAATGATATTTATAAATACCTCTCAAGTCTCAGTAATCAATACAACAGACAATTATTACAGATCCAACAGTCGCACTGCACCCAAAAAGAAACAAGACTTCCCTAATCACTTTTAGCTCTTACATACCTCATGTGCTCCTTTTTTTTGAAGGGGAGGCTTTAGTTTTACTGACCAAGTCAGTATTAATGCCCTCATAAAAAGTATTGGACTAACAAAAAGGAAAGGAAGCCAGAAGAACTTTATGTATTTTTTTGAAAGTGAAGAAATTATGTAACTTATCATTATATATAGTCAAGTATACAGGCTCAGATCATAATAATGTTCACTGCATTTCTAGGTCTATTATGTTTTCTATGGTACATTGTGATTTTTTTAGAGAAGAGAAGACTCTAACTTCCTATAAAGAATATTATTCAAAAACACACTGCTAGGGTACCAGGAAGTGAAAAGGAGAGAGAGAGTTAACAGAAAAAAGAAAATAGATAATTGGGATAGTGAAACAAAGTAAATGAATAGAGAAAATAAGGGGTGGAAGAGAGGTGGAGACAATGTGCATGCGTATCAATATCACTGATGGTTCCAACTTAGGCTTCTAATTCTAATACTTGTTTATTCCTCACATTCAACTGAATCACATGAGTGGCATATTTGGAACAACACTCCAAATAAAATCTTAACCAAAATCTTATGATAAAAGGAAGCGATGTTTGAAAACTCAGAACAACTACAAAGCCTAGACCGAATACTAAGACTCTAGGTTGAACACCATTTAATGAGACTGAATACTGTTTGACACCGAATACTAATAACAAACCGAATACTATGAAGAAACCGAGAGATAGAAAGATGTTGAATACTAATAATACTTAGTTTTTAGTATTAAGACAGAACACTGAAGAGACCGAGTACTAGTCTGAGATCGAGCACTGTAGAAACCGAACACTATTGAGTTTGGTCGAACGCTCTTATTTTAAAAATGGTAATGATAGATTACTGAGACGAGACCGAGCACTTGGTTTAAGACCGAGCACCACTTAGATCGAGTGTCGGGTTTAAGATCGAACACTACTTAGCTTATAGAAGGAAGAATTAAATACCGATACAAATAATGGATTTTTAAGGGAGATAAATATACTAGTATATGTGTAAGTAATATTGAATACCAAATACAAAGAGAAAACTACACTTAGATAGGCACTTATTTACAAGTATACTAGGATAAAATCGATCGGTCATCAACTGAAACTCTTCCCAAAGGAAGGATCCAGTACAGACCGAATGCTCAAAGGAAAAATCGAACGGTCAATAATGACTTTCGGTGATAAACATATAATTACAAAGGAAGTTACAGACTTAAGATCAAATATTATATCAATCGAGTTCTCCATCATTTATATTCATACACTCATACAACCAAAAATGCAGTAACAACCATACTTCATTTTCATCCAATAATCAAACAAACATGCAATCAGTCAAAACAATAATCATAATCAAATTATATAAGCTTCCCTTACCTCTAAACGTGACCTGACGCTCACAGGTGCAGAATACTGGTTCACCACTACAATTTCTTCTACCCTTAAAATTCACTGATTACAAAACTAGACCAAAATAAAGGACCAAAACATTATCAGAATCACATATAGAAAAGTGATCAATCCATGCAACCAGAACTTGGTTTGCATGTGCTAGTAAACCACACGACTGAGGAAGGAATGAACTTACCAGCTTAAACCCAAAACTTGATCGGTGCAAAACGTAACTCTTGGCACCAGGAATACTCAGGCATGGTTTGAATGATGATCGAAAGAAGAAAAGAATAAAATTTCTTAGAGAGAAGTATGAGGTTTGTAGAGAGAAGGAGGAGAAAATGAAAACTCAGAAGGTTAAAGATGAAGGGTGCATGCAGAAAAGTGGCGTGAAATTTGAAAACTTAAGTTTTACTCCTATCGTCAAAACCGATCGGCCACTCCGCTGCTCACACCTATCTTTCACTTTCTAATTTTCACTAACACCTGACTTCCACTTACACAGGGTTTTTTAATGCTTCTGACACCTTGCACCTACACGTGTCTTCCACTATCATGGAATTTTAAGAGTTCTGACAATGTGTCTTATCTAACTTCATTAAACTTGATATAAAATTGTCTTAACTAAACTTGACTTTGATTTACTTAATTTAAATTTGAACATGTTTATTTAACTCAATTTAAACAAAACTTTACTTAGAATCCCTTAAGATTTAGAATACTCTAATTTAATTTAAGATTATAGCAATATGTAGTTAGACCTAACCTAACTTAAATATAAAAATGGTTTAACCTTACACGTACTGATCATACTTTATCTGAATCTAACATAACTTAACTTTTCATGATTTCGATAAATCAAAAGTTACTCTGATTTTAAATTAAAAAAGTTATCCAATTCAATTTAAATTAAATACATTAATTAGCTAAAAAAATATACAAATTTACATTTGAGATAAATAGAGTAAACTTGAAGTATAAATGTACAGTAACCAATTAAATTTGAAAATTTATGTTTCTTTAAACCCTGTTATTTTAAAATTTTAATTTTTTTAACTATTTTAAATGTGTTAAAGTAGTCACTCCCCAAAATAATAATAATAATGTGCGTTAAATATTTATGTATTGTTATTTATCCCGCCCAACTTTATATGATACGGTATTTTTTGTTTTTCAAAACTATATTGACTTCGTTTTAAAATTGGAGATTAATAAAAGGGATAACATTATCAAGTTGGAAAAACTATTAATCCTAGTATTCATATTTATTCGGTCAAATCTATATTATTATATAAATAGAATTATTTTTTAGTTTTATATTTTAATTGAATAAATTTAGCTTTTAATAAATAAAAATTATTAACACGTTTACTAAAAATAATTAAACACATTTTATTTATTTAAAAATAACTAAATAGTTTTAATTTAAAAATAATGATTAGATAACATTTTTAATACTGTTTTTAATTTTTTTTTTCAAAATTATATATATAATATATTGTATTACTTTGTTTTATAATTAATTAGTTATAAAATAATAAAATTATATATATTCAAATGTAATAAAAATATAGTTATTTATAATGTATCTGGCTGCTGCTTTGTCCATCCATTATGAATGGAAAATGTTCCTGTTAGAAAGCTCAAGCAAAACACTCTCAAACTCTCTTTTTTTTCTCTCCCTATTATATATATATACAAAATATATATAATAGGAAATGACATCAGAAAATACGAAATTTATATAATACAACCACATGCAGAGGATAGAGTAGGAGACTTAAATGAAGAGGAAATAATCTTAATCTTATGTGGAACTTTCTGAGAAATTGCATTCTGTCCTTTCAAATATTAAAATAAATATAAATAGATTGGGAGTGTTGACCTTCAAATATATTTTTCTCATTCATCATCCAATTTGTGTTTGCGATCGATCCAAAACAATGGACGCCTTCACTTCCTTCTTCGATTCAAGAAACCGATGGAATTACGATACGCTCAAGAACTTCCGTCTCATCTCTCCCATCGTTCAAAATCACCTCAAGAAGGTTCCCTTCTAATTTCTACCTTTTTATGATTTTTTTTTTAATTTTTTCCTTCAATTAGCGAAGAAATGTGGAAGCCATGGATTTCATAAGTTTTCTCTCATAGTCTTTGTTATACCAATGTCTCTTCTTTTGCTTTTATCAATTTCTCTGATCTTAACTAGGGTTTGCAAAAATTAGGATTGTAGGATCTTCGGATGGTGGATGTTTTGGATTTCATCGTAAATTTTTCTTGATTGGTTTCTTAATTTGGTTTTGTGATTGATTGTTGTAGGTTTATTTTACTCTTTGTTTCGCCGTGGTTGCTGCTGCCGTTGGGGCCTACCTTCATGTTCTCCTGAACGTTGGGGGTTTTCTTACTACGGTGGCTTGTGTTGGAAGCAGCGTTTGGTTACTCTCTACATCTCCTTCGGAAGAGGTATCTGTCATTTTAAGCCGCTGTTGTTTTTTTTTCTTCTTTTTTTGTGATCGCTATTCACCCGCGTTTTTTCTTTTCTTGTGATGTGCAGAAGAAGAGGGTGACTTTGTTGATGGCCGCGTCACTGTTTCAAGGTGCCTCCATTGGACCCTTGATTGATTTGGCTATTCAAATAGAACCAAGGTATGTGCTATGTGGTGGTCAATGGATTGTGTGAGGATTCATGTGATACATTCAACGCTCCTGTTACCTTTGATTGGAATTAAATCATTGACTTTTTGTTGGGATAAACTTTTAACGACTTTGTAAGGGTGAAGAAAGTGAGAAAAAAAAAATGAATTTGACTTTTCTCGTATTGATATAAACTTATGAATAAGATAAAACCGGTTTATTGGAAAAGTTAAAATGAGAGTTTCTATAAAAGATTGAGTTTATAAGTTGTAGAAAAAGCTTAATTTTTTCTTTTTTTATCTTCTTTAATTATTTTTTTCTCCGGGATAGTACCTTCAATGATAGTTAGTCTTCGAGATGTTGAATGTTTTATAGTTCTGTGACATTATTCTTTTGTTTCTCCAGCCTTATCTTTAGTGCATTTGTGGCAACATCCTTGGCCTTTGCATGCTTCTCGGGAGCAGCTTTGGTTGCAAGACGTAGGGAGTACCTGTACCTTGGTGGCTTGCTTTCTTCTGGATTGTCCATCCTTCTCTGGTTGCACTTTGCTTCTTCCATTTTTGGAGGCTCAACAGCTCTCTTCAAGTTTGAGGTAAGTGATTGTCATTAATCCCATTTCTGTGAAAATAGCTTGGGGCATTCTGATTCTTGATTATACATATACTGAGAGAAATGCTGGCGATACTCTTTTTAAGACTCTCTTTCTGACATTCTCTCTAATATTGGTAATTTAGTGGAAATTACAAATTTTAGTAGGTTATAGTTTGCATTCAAGGATCCTGCCATTTGATTTAGAACTAAGAGGTCTCAAAATTTCTTATTGCTAATTAATATTAACCAATAACCAATAAAATTTTGGGAGTATTAACATCCCTTCTTATAGGTATTAAGTATTTGTTTTTTTTATCGTTTTAAGTCTCAATTTACACAGTTTATTTCATGTTGTTGCAGCTGTACTTTGGGCTTTTGTTGTTTGTGGGTTACATTATAGTTGACACCCAAGAAATAGTTGAGAGAGCACACTTGGGCGATCTGGACTATGTAAAGCATGCCTTGACCTTGTTTACCGATTTGGTTGCAGTTTTTGTAAGGATTCTTGTCATTATGGTGAGTTTGATTGTTAAAGCATCTTTTTTTTTTATGGATTCTCCTCTACCTTGCAAATTTGTATTGACGGGACTTTTACTATTATTTTTCAGATGAAAAATTCAGCTGAGAGGAACGAGAAAAAGAAGAAGAGGAGAGATTAATTTCTTACCAATCTGCTCGGTTTACACCTCTGTTCCCTTGGTCTTCAATACATAGGATACTTGACTATAAAGTGATTTAATCTTCACGAACTTTTTCCTACTTGTTTGCTTCTGAACTTTTTAACAAAGCATGTACTAAAATGAAAAAAGTAAGGTGGTCTTGGACAACCAGTTCAATTATTTTTTCTTTTTCTTTTTGTGTTAATATAAATAACTTGAGTACCTTTAAAAATTAAAAAAAAAATTATATATATTCAAGTAAGGTGGTCTTGGACAACCAGTTTCCCACCCAAAATAGGAATAATAACTAGTCAATTTAAAATGTATTTTGAATATTTATATAACCATTTGTAACTTTTAAGAATATGCATTAATCCTTGATAAATCATTATTAAATTACTTATTTGTTTAAGGTTAAGAATGGAATTGGATTAATATATTCATCAGTTATTGTAATTCTTACTATTTCTCTTTTTAATTCTGTGCGTATAGTGGAAGTTTAAGTAATTAATCAAACATGATATTTATGAGGGTCAATTGTACTATGTAAGTATGTGATACGTCGTGACAAAAAATAAATCTGTAAATTTAATGTTTAATTGTTTTGAAATATATATATATATATATATCAGGAACCATAGTAGGATTTTAGATTTCAGAGAGATAAAAAGAGAGAGAGAGTATAATATAGTTATTAAGATAAGAATTAATTACGAAAATTTTCCGAATTGGTTGTATTAAGAATCTAACACCGTATTTTAATTTCTTTAAAAGAGTTACCTCTCTTTGGCGAAATGCCTTGTCGCAACAGGCAGGAGAAGTTCTTTTGTCCAAAAGAAATCACTTAAAAATTGTGATTTATGAAAGTGAGTATAACACGGGATTTATAATGCTGTCTTGCAATGAGAAGTACCTTAATCTTATTTACAGCCAAGATCATGCTTTTTGTTTTATGATCCTAGAAAATTAAATTAAGACAGGATTTGTTAGTTACCTCAATTTTATCCATTTTCCTTTGTTTTTTTCACGCAAATATATTATGACTTGTTTGGAGCTCTTGACGATTTTATTTAATTGGAAATTAAATTATAAGGTAGCAAAAATGTTATATTCTATCGTTTCTTAAACTTTCATTAAGATTCCATCACGTGATCATGGTACAAGAATGCTGAATCTTCTTTCAAAAGAGTTTGATCCGCGGAATGATAATATTTAAAATGGTTTTGGTGTTTTTTTAGGCTACAAATTATTTTGTGAATTAAGGGCTTACTCCTTACTGCAAATCTGTCTGTGGTGGATGACATTCTTAGAAGTATTTCATAAAATATTTTAAAAGAAAAAAAAATAATGCATGGTGGAGAAGAACACAAACAAATTATGAAACCAGAATGATTATGCATGCCCCAGAAAATGTGTCTGACAGAGCTTTGTTGGAATTCAGTCATATGCTGTAAAGTTTCAGTACCACTTACGTGAATGAATTTTATTTTATACAAATTAAATATTTAAATAATTATAGAACACCTTATCTCTTGAAGCCTTTATATACTATACTATTTAGATATCTACTTTTCAAAGTTCCAGAACCTTCTACAGGGATGGGGCGGTGGCTAAAGTTTAAATTTTATGTTTAATGAAAGCAAAGACTTTTATTAACCCTAAAAGCATATCATCCAAAACAGTCAAATAAAAAAAATATTATAACTCCTGAATGATATGTTATCATGTCATTTTACTTTATGCTCGACAAAAACCAAGCTCACGGTATGGGCTTCTCGATTTTCTCGTATTGCCCATTGATGTATTTTTTTTTTTTGGAACATTGCCAATTTTTATTTCTATCAATAATATTACAATGATTTCACTTTAATTATGCTTACCCTCTTAAGATTTTAAATTTAAGTATATATATATATATATTATGAAAAATTTTCATTAAAAATAACCAATTAGATCTGTACAATAGAAACAAATATACATGAAGTCAATAAATATTTTTTAACTATAACTTAAACAAGACAAGACAAATCTTTTAGCCTTCATTTTGTTTTGATATTAAAATTTTAAAAAAAAAACAGTAAAAGCATTTGATGGATTTAGATTATAAGTTTTTCCTTTTAAACTAAGAATATTTTTTATCTAGTTAGTTTAAAATGCTTAGAGAAAGAATATGTGGTATGCAGTGTTTAGCTTTCAAATCATTTTATGCTTGAGTAAAAAACTTTTTTTTTTCTTGATTCGCAAATAAAGTAGGAATACCCAACTTTTATTCTATTATCAAACAAAAAATCTTCAACTATATTTATTTACAAAAAATACTTCGATTGAATTTCCAGTTTCAATTGAATAAAAAGCAAAAATAATAATAACAACAATGACGACTTCTTAAAATAAATTTAATTCGATTTCAATGTAAAAATTAATAAAGTCGTCCTAACTTATTTACAACAGAATGGTCAATTCAATGACAACTCGCCTGCTCTTTCTAAAAATCAGTGGTGATAATAAAAAGTGAATAGTCTCCCCATGTATTTTTTTTCGAAGGTAGGCCTAGTGACAAGTGTAACTTAAAATTATAATATTTCAATAATGTGACAACCTTTGATCATTCGAATCATCGCGCAAAGTCACCAACATGCTCCCTCCCAAAAATATATGCAATGATGATAGGCTGTGGAAACAAGCATTACAAAAGAGTAATACGCACACAATGCTTAACACTACGTGAACCCAATGAACCATAGATCAAACTGCTACACCAATACATAACATTTTTTTTTTATTTATATTCCATGATGTTATAGGTTTTTAAAAGGAAAATATGTGATATGAATTCTCTAATCTGAGAACATTTACATGGGTAGTTGCAAATCCTGATCAGAAGCCACCTTCTCCTTTTGCATCTTTGCACACTTCATTCCATTCCCTATATTAATACCTTATAATATATGTTACTATTATTAATACTCTTTTTGCGTGAAGGNTGGTCTTCAATACATAGGATACTTGACTATAAAGTGATTTAATCTTCACGAACTTTTTCCTACTTGTTTGCTTCTGAACTTTTTAACAAAGCATGTACTAAAATGAAAAAAGTAAGGTGGTCTTGGACAACCAGTTCAATTATTTTTTCTTTTTCTTTTTGTGTTAATATAAATAACTTGAGTACCTTTAAAAATTAAAAAAAAAATTATATATATTCAAGTAAGGTGGTCTTGGACAACCAGTTTCCCACCCAAAATAGGAATAATAACTAGTCAATTTAAAATGTATTTTGAATATTTATATAACCATTTGTAACTTTTAAGAATATGCATTAATCCTTGATAAATCATTATTAAATTACTTATTTGTTTAAGGTTAAGAATGGAATTGGATTAATATATTCATCAGTTATTGTAATTCTTACTATTTCTCTTTTTAATTCTGTGCGTATAGTGGAAGTTTAAGTAATTAATCAAACATGATATTTATGAGGGTCAATTGTACTATGTAAGTATGTGATACGTCGTGACAAAAAATAAATCTGTAAATTTAATGTTTAATTGTTTTGAAATATATATATATATATATATCAGGAACCATAGTAGGATTTTAGATTTCAGAGAGATAAAAAGAGAGAGAGAGTATAATATAGTTATTAAGATAAGAATTAATTACGAAAATTTTCCGAATTGGTTGTATTAAGAATCTAACACCGTATTTTAATTTCTTTAAAAGAGTTACCTCTCTTTGGCGAAATGCCTTGTCGCAACAGGCAGGAGAAGTTCTTTTGTCCAAAAGAAATCACTTAAAAATTGTGATTTATGAAAGTGAGTATAACACGGGATTTATAATGCTGTCTTGCAATGAGAAGTACCTTAATCTTATTTACAGCCAAGATCATGCTTTTTGTTTTATGATCCTAGAAAATTAAATTAAGACAGGATTTGTTAGTTACCTCAATTTTATCCATTTTCCTTTGTTTTTTTCACGCAAATATATTATGACTTGTTTGGAGCTCTTGACGATTTTATTTAATTGGAAATTAAATTATAAGGTAGCAAAAATGTTATATTCTATCGTTTCTTAAACTTTCATTAAGATTCCATCACGTGATCATGGTACAAGAATGCTGAATCTTCTTTCAAAAGAGTTTGATCCGCGGAATGATAATATTTAAAATGGTTTTAGTGTTTTTTTAGGCTACAAATTATTTTGTGAATTAAGGGCTTACTCCTTACTGCAAATCTGTCTGTGGTGGATGACATTCTTAGAAGTATTTCATAAAATATTTTAAAAGAAAAAAAAATAATGCATGGTGGAGAAGAACACAAACAAATTATGAAACCAGAATGATTATGCATGCCCCAGAAAATGTGTCTGACAGAGCTTTGTTGGAATTCAGTCATATGCTGTAAAGTTTCAGTACAACTTACGTGAATGAATTTTATTTTATACAAATTAAATATTTAAATAATTATAGAACACCTTATCTCTTGAAGCCTTTATATACTATACTATTTAGATATCTACTTTTCAAAGTTCCAGAACCTTCTACAGGGATGGGGCGGTGGCTAAAGTTTAAATTTTATGTTTAATGAAAGCAAAGACTTTTATTAACCCTAAAAGCATATCATCCAAAACAGTCAAATAAAAAAAATATTATAACTCCTGAATGATATGTTATCATGTCATTTTACTTTATGCTCGACAAAAACCAAGCTCACGGTATGGGCTTCTCGATTTTCTCGTATTGCCCATTGATGTATTTTTTTTTTTTGGAACATTGCCAATTTTTATTTCTATCAATAATATTACAATGATTTCACTTTAATTATGCTTACCCTCTTAAGATTTTAAATTTAAGTATATATATATATATATATTATGAAAAATTTTCATTAAAAATAACCAATTAGATCTGTACAATAGAAACAAATATACATGAAGTCAATAAATATTTTTTAACTATAACTTAAACAAGACAAGACAAATCTTTTAGCCTTCATTTTGTTTTGANTGTTAAACTAAAATTACTTAAGTTAATGCTTGTATTTGACTATGTGATTTGGAATTCAGCAGTAACCCCCCATGGCTAATCCATCGATGATAATTAGGTTTCTGACCACACATGACATAGTCACAGATTTATTGTTCTGTTTTTAAAAAACAAAAACACAATTTTAAAACCTTATCAACATCATGTCATCACACACGAGACAATATAAAATTAAGAATTGGTATTCGCATCTTAAACAAAAAACCATTGCATTTCGTAGCAGCAGGAACAAAATTTCGGAAAGGCCAAAAACATCTCCTTGTTTCTTTCTCCCTTTTCAGTGGGTTTTTTTTTTTTTTTTTTTTTTTTTGTAAAATCTCTTCTACTCGATGCACAAAAAATTCAAGAACTGATGGCAAAGATAGAATACTTTTAAATTTTATTATTATTTGTTGAGAATTTAAAAAATGGATGATTAGCAAAGAAGAAAAGTCGATAGTCAACAGGATCTGTGCAATGATATTCCCCTACCCCTTCTGTTCCCTTTATAATAAGATGAGCTCATTATTTTTAATATTACAAAAAGCAAAATTGAAGTGTTTCAAATAAAATCAACAAAAGAGAAAAATAAAAGGAGAAAAAAAAGCATAAAAAGTTGAAACATTTACTTCTTATACAATACAAGAGGTCATATACAGAGACCTTCACTTCTCTCTTTCTCTCTCAACATTCAACCTTCTTTTCTTTCCCCTTTTCACAACCATTTCTGAGATTCCTTCTCTAGTTTTCTCTTATTGTACAATTCCCACTTACATCAATCCTTTCGGTTGTTGCTAGATTGCTTATGTGAAATTTCTTTAAAGGACTGTAAAAAGACAACCTTTCTGGGTTTATTGGTTCCTGCTTTAAATTTTCTTTCTGGGAACTATCATTTCTGGGTTTGCCTATAAAAGAAAGCATTTATACATAACTATTGTATTTTTTCAGAAAAAAAAACATTTTTTTTTATTGATTTTGTTGTTAAAGATTTTTTTTCTCTCATTTTCCTGCAATTATTTCGTCATATCCTTTAATAAATCTGCGGGAAAGATTGATACATGGGTAAACAAGGTCCTTGCTATCACTGTGGAGTTACAAGTGAGTTCTTGTTTTTTCAATATATAATATTTTCTTTTAAGCTACTTACTGTTTTTTTTCTTTGCAAAGAGTTTATGTATTTGTGAATTGAAATGTGTTGAGGAAAGGGATTATGTTTAATACAAACTATTAAAAAATTATGCGTGCTGTGTGATAGTCTGGATGTATATGAATTAGAAAGAATACAACTGTGCTGTTCTCCATAGTATTTGTAATTGAAAGTTGTGAAAAATCATGTTTGTTTCCTGTTTCTATGTGTTTTTGTATTCTTTTGTTGCTATTTGTTCCCCTATCTATATTCCAAATCCAAGACCATGTAAATGTTGCAAAATTAAGCCTGGAGTGCATTGAATGTGGGTCTCCTTAATTGGAACAACACTCACTGCATTTAAGGTCTTTATCAAAGAGTCAACCCACAGTTCGTGTCTTGCTGTTTGGATGGCAATAAGATAAGGGAATCGTGCGTTTGTAAAATGCCAGAAGTTAATTCATTCATGTATTTGGAAAGACTTTTACAAAATTGTTTTCATTTGCTCTTCAAAGCAGTTTTTCACCGTGCCAGAGGATATTGGAAACATTGCATTCATCTCATCCTTCAGACATGATTTGCTACTCCCTTGCTCTCTGTCTGATGAATAATCGTTACTTGTACCTCTTCATTATTTTCTTTTGAATTATTTTTTAATTGAAACTATTAATTTTGTTTGCAACACTTATTGGTATGACTTGAAGATTTTCATTGCTTTGCTTATAATTCCAATGCACTTTTCAAAATTTTGAAGTTTTTACTACTGGTTNTAACTTAAACAAGACAAGACAAATCTTTTAGCCTTCATTTTGTTTTGATATTAAAATTTTAAAAAAAAAACAGTAAAAGCATTTGATGGATTTAGATTATAAGTTTTTCCTTTTAAACTAAGAATATTTTTTATCTAGTTAGTTTAAAATGCTTAGAGAAAGAATATGTGGTATGCAGTGTTTAGCTTTCAAATCATTTTATGCTTGAGTAAAAAACTTTTTTTTTTCTTGATTCGCAAATAAAGTAGGAATACCCAACTTTTATTCTATTATCAAACAAAAAATCTTCAACTATATTTATTTACAAAAAATACTTCGATTGAATTTCCAGTTTCAATTGAATAAAAAGCAAAAATAATAATAACAACAATGACGACTTCTTAAAATAAATTTAATTCGATTTCAATGTAAAAATTAATAAAGTCGTCCTAACTTATTTACAACAGAATGGTCAATTCAATGACAACTCACCTACTCTTTCTAAAAATCAGTGGTGATAATAAAAAGTGAATAGTCTCCCCATGTATTTTTTTTCGAAGGTAGGCCTAGTGACAAGTGTAACATAAAATTATAATATTTCAATAATGTGACAACCTTTGATCATTCGAATCATCGCGCAAAGTCACCAACATGCTCCCTCCCAAAAATATATGCAATGATGATAGGCTGTGGAAACAAGCATTACAAAAGAGTAATACGCACACAATGCTTAACACTACGTGAACCCAATGAACCATAGATCAAACTGCTACACCAATACATAACATTTTTTTTTTATTTATATTCCATGATGTTATAGGTTTTTAAAAGGAAAATATGTGATATGAATTCTCTAATCTGAGAACATTTACATGGGTAGTTGCAAATCCTGATCAGAAGCCACCTTCTCCTTTTGCATCTTTGCACACTTCATTCCATTCCCTATATTAATACCTTATAATATATGTTACTATTATTAATACTCTTTTTGCGTGAAGGGCCTCTATCAATCTGACTCAATCTCACTCAAATGGGCCTAAAACTTCCACTTAATTTATAGGGTGGTTACATTTAACTTGTCGTTTCTAAATGGGAACTATTCCAACCACATTATTGGGTTATTTCACTTTAGCCAATGTGTTTTTCTTACATGGGATGATGAGTTGGAGGGTGAAAGATTCCGAACAAACTTAAGATCAGAAAGCGTGAAAAAGGAAAAGCGAATACAAGC